TCAGCAAATCCTCTAAGTACCACTACAGTTATTAGGGATTTAAGTATTTTCAGTGAATGATTTCCAAACCAATAATTTTTTCATCCATTTAGATACGGATCCAAAGTCCACTGAAGAAAAAACAACAGAGATTGAACTTTGAATTTTGGATCAATTGTTTAGTCAGCATTCTGGATTTTCCATCCCTGAGACGTGGTTGTTGTTTTGATACATCCTGCCTTAGACGATGAGCTGGATTTCTGCTGAGCTTAGTGGGAATCCAGAGATCTTCAAGGTGGAACTACATCTTTCCCTTTAGAAAGTCTGGCATTGTAATAGTGTGGGAAAGTCTGGGATCACTGCTTAAATGATACTGGCATCCTTCTTGATGGAGGATCCAGTTACAGCATTGCTACCATACCTTTCTTTGCTCTAGGGATGGACAAATGTTAATATTAAGATAAAAATCTTAAATGTGAACTGTTCTTAGTAAAAGTGAGATGACAGGAGTGGGCTTACGCTGTAATTTTAATATGAAACAGATTTCTCAATTCAGGCGTAAGAGTTACAGGTGTGGGGTTTTTTTGATTGTTTTTAAGCAGTAATAAAGTTATCTAGCCCATTTTATCCTGCTTTTTAGTGAGCTATGCAGAAACTGTATACCTGGGCATATGTAGGCACCCAGGAAGGCAGTCCAGGATCCTTGCATAAGTTCAAGGTTGTCTTCATGAGAGAGAAACACATTCATGCTTGACTGTGTTCTGATCACATGCTCTTGCTAGGAAGCTTTCCAGGTAGGGGTGATAAATGAATGAATACTTTTTTTTTTTTTCTAGCCATCTAGGCTGACTCTTGTTAACTAAAGGCTACTGTTGATCAGGGCATTATGATAAATTTATCCAGACATATTTTCTCTCAAGGAGAATACTGAACTTCTATGAAAAATTTCACAACTGAAAGAAAAAGAACCTAAAAGCATGCTTCAGTCCTTTTCTGACTTCCTAATGCTTTAAGTTAGGAGGTTTCCACCATCTAGTATGTCTTGTCCAAAATTTCCTTTTCTCAAGCACCTTGAAATGCCAGAGGTCTTTTCTTTATCACATATAGGTAATGTCAGAGCATTAATGCACTCTTGCACAAGCAGGTACTTTTTCTGCTGAGATAGTTGTAGTGAGCTGGATCCCAATACACCAGTGGTGACATCTGGTGGCCAGGGAAAAAAAAAAAAAAGTCAAAAAAGAAACTGCCTGCCTGGGGTCTTTATAGTCCAAGAGGTAGTATCCTTAGCCCTTTAACCCAAGATCTGCTGGCATGGCGTACAGTAATATCACAACATGACCTTGGCTGCAAAAGCATGCTCGTTTAAAATTGTCGTTCTGATTATTTCTGTAGTTTTGTGGGACTGATTGTATACATGTACCTGCATGTTTATCTATAGATCAGTCACGCACACATAACCGCACCCATATAGCTCTCAATTATACCCTCTGTCTCTTCACATCTGCAGCAGCAGTTCTGCTGCCAAGTGTTACAGTGCTGATGTTGAGATAGAGCTAGTAAGTCCAGCTGATTTCATCTAGCAATGGGTGTCTCTTTGCTGTGCTTTGCTTAATGCATCTTATTCCAGAGTTTGCGTAAGTTTTCTAGAATTTACTTCCAGGGCTCAGTGCTCTTGCCTTATTAGGAATGAGCTTGCACTCTGCTAATTAAGGTATGACTTCTTTGTGCGGAAAATAGCTGATTTAGAGTATGATTATTCTGAGGGTGGGAGGCTAAGACCATTGAAAAATACATTTAGAACAGTATTTTTTTTAAAAAAAACACGTTTTAACTGTTCACATATTTTTACAGGACAGTAAGGACCTATTCTTAGTTTGAAATAGCTGAAGTGGGATACAGCGCTGGTTCTCTAATCTCTGCTGGGCAAATGGAAAAGTAATGAGTATTAATAGAAAATGTCATAAGCCATCTATATTCTGTTGTTCACTCTTCAGATAGTTTTTAGTGTCCTGTTTGATAACTTGTCCTCTGTACCTCTTCTTTTTGATATAGGGGATGGCCCTTTTCCAGGAGTGATTGACATGTACGGTGATGAAGGAGGTTTGATTGAATTTAGATCCAGTCTCCTGGCTACCCGTGGTTTTGCTGCACTTTCTCTGCCATATTTTGACTTTGAAGATCTGCCTAAGGTCATGAAAGAATTCAAACTCGAGTACTTTGAGGAGGCAGCTAGATTCCTACAGCGTCACCCGAAGGTGAGTGTAATGAGAGATCTCTCAGAACAAGGGAGGATTCGGCAGTTGTGCCCAAGTGGTGGTGGTGATTTTTTTGGAGTATCGGTTTCTGCTAGGCAGGTTTAGGCCCAATAACGGAAAAAGCACAGGTCCTGCATAGGCAGCTATGCATATGACTGTGGAGAGTGAATTTTTTCCAGCACAAGCTGTCTTTTAAATAAATTCATGCTGGAAAGTAGAAGATTCCTGATCATTAGAACAGTGAGGTGCTGGAATATCCTCCAAATAGGAGCAGTGGTGATAAAGATGAGGTTTTTTTTAAAAATGAAAGCAGTTAATTTAAGAGAGGATGATACAAAACTGCTCAGTAGTCAGCAAAGGAATGGATTAGATGGCTTGGGATGTTGCTTTCCATTTTACTTTCCAGGCTAGAAAAGGCCAAGACTAAATACTGCTTATCTAATCCTCCAAACGTCATTTGTGAGGTTACTTTATTTGCCTGAGACACATACAGCAATTGACTGTGCTTGAATTTCCTGCTACCTGTTTTAGGAAAAAGAGAAAATATTTGCATCAAAATATGCAGCAGAGACTAGATGAGGTCCAAGTGATGGTACTTCTTTGTTATTTTGCGGGGTTTGACAGCTCTCTGAAAAATAAGACACTAAACAGAGGGAGGAGCCTGGGTCCAGGCTGTAGCTTTCCAACAGGTCACATCAATAATTAACCTAACCTTTTTTTTTTAATAGCACAACTCCAAAGGCATTTAATGGCTAATCCCATTATAATGCATACTTCCTTTATTCCTTTCTTCCTCTCTTCCCCACCCCCTATCTTATCTGAAGGTGAAGGGACCAGGAGTTGGAGTGATTGGGACTGGGAAAGGGGCAGAATTAGCACTCTCCATGATCACCTTCCTGCCAGAAGTAGTGGCTGCTGTCAGTATCTCCGGCTGTAGTTCAAACACAGTAGCAGACCTCCATTATGGCGAGATGACTCTGCCTGGGCTGCGTTTTGATATGAATAAGGTCAGTGTTTCTGACGCTGGTGTATTTGACACTTTTGAAGCTCTGGATGACCCAACGAATCCTGCTAATTCTCCTTCCACGATCCCCATTGAAAAAGCAGAAGGTCACTTTCTCTTAGTGGTAGGGGAAGATGATCGTATGTGGAAGAGCTCCTTATATGCTGAGCTGGCAATCGGGCGTCTGCGCCAGCACGGGAAAGAAAACTTTGAACTCTTGAGTTACCCAGGAGCAGGTCACAGAATTGATCCTCCTTCTACTCCATTCTGTCAGGTAGCTATGGATCGTGTTCTGGGGGTGCCTGTTCTTGGGGGTGGAGAGAGCAAAGCACATGCCCATGCACAGGAACACTCCTGGGGAAAGATTCAGGAGTTTCTGCACTTGCATTTGGGATGAACACTTAAGCACCTGCAAGCTGTTGCAGAACTGCAGAGGACTGAGCTTGAGCCACCAAAATGACTGGTGAATTGGAGGGACCGACTGAGAAAAGCTTTGAAATATGAAATAACCAAATGACTACTTAGCTACAAGTATAAATCCAAAAAGAAAGGGGCTTAGTTGGACTAGCCTAAGTTATTTCAACTAGGAACACAGAGGAGAAGTGAAACAATGATAAGTAGGCTGCATTTGACAGCCTGAATTGGTCATGATATCAAGAAACAAGTATCTGAAGAGAGTAGTAGGTACCTTCTTGCTTGCAGTATTTATAACTCGGAGAATTTAACAGCTGGCCTGCACCCTCAGCAATGACAGACTGGATCGCACCTGGCGAATGATGGCAACCCATGGATGATAAACTTTGACATCAAAATGATGAATGATTCTGGCTTTGGGTCTTAAGTTACCTTAGCCCAGAACTCTCAGATTTACAGCCATATACACTTGGGAAATGTTTTCTATTTACATGAAGCTGGGGATATCTATTTGTAACAAGGCTCGTATACCTTGACCTTAGGTAGTGGTCACACTGGTGATGCAGTCTGTTTCTTTCCAACAAAAACTACCTGTAGAGTGGGAAAATGAAGAGTATTTCTCCTGTCACCCAGGGAGAATGGCTGCGCTAGCATTGTCTTGTGTTAGGGATGTAGCCATATGTTCCTATAATGTCTTGGATTGGCATTTGACACTCAGGGTATTAAAATTCTGTTGGATAGGTTAAAGCATGGTTAAATGCAGTTATGCTATGTGCAAGTCTTACTTCTCTCTTCATTGCTTGTTTTAAACTAATAACACCTGCCATTTAGTTAGGGATTAATGACTTGTGGAACTCTTTTGTAATGATGTCAACAGATGCTGACAGCTGTTCTTAGGGAGAAAGTGGAAAAGAAAACCTAGCCAGCAGAAGATTAAGACTGACTGTAGAAAGCTGTCACCTTATAGCGATGATTAACTTAGAATCATAATACTTAAAAAAAAAAAACCCACAACCCCCCCAAAAAAAACCAAACAAAAAAACCCCCCAAACACCTGCCACCCCCCCACCCAAAAAAAACCAACCCACAACCAAATCTAGGATATCTTTTCCATGACTGCCTGAGATTGTTGGGGTTTTTTTTCATCCTAATTAATTTTTGGCTAGTGCCTTATTTTTCTCTACCATTCAGGTAGAAAGAAACAACTTCTTCCCAAATGAGTTATCTCTCGAGAGGGTCATGCTGGAACGGTGCCTGTGGTGAAAGCCTGTTTAGCAAGAGCCTCTATCAGTACAATTTCTTGTTCCAAGGTCATTTTGTCAGACCAGTTTGAGAGCTGCCCAGGAGGATACAAAACCTTCGTTTATGGCACTCAATTGTGCTTTGCTCTCAGGGATCTCTTCTCTCCAGTTAACTGTCATTATGCTGCTGCTCAGGTCTCATTAGCCTTCTGCAGCTCTTATTACTCCTTATCATTTGATTGAAGTCACGTGTTCTCCACATGCCATCACTGCCAACTGAACAATTTATCCATCCACTCCTTACAAGAGAAGCTCCATCCTGCTCACTCCACGCCAAACGCCTTCACACCTGGTCTCTCTGAACTCCCTCACTGGCTGAAGAGGCCTTTGCAGAGTCGTATCTGGTGCTTTGAACCTCCACCAAAACCAGCAGCCCCAGAAGTCCAGGACCACAGCCTGCTGCGATGTGCATGTTGCTGTCACCCACGCTTAGTTTTTCCAAACTCACTCCAAGCTGCAACCATAGAGGAAAGGGTTGTCTGAAGGCTTCCGTTTGTTTTGTCTGCCTCATCATGTGCATCTTTAGAAGTTGGAGCTGTGTAGCTGCGGTAGAGCAGGGCCTCCCCTAACCCCGCTTGGTTACCCTCCCAGTACTGATCCCTGGGTCTCACGCTGCACTCCTACCTCAGCATATCCATTGCCATGCCAGATGGCAAGCTGGAGGTTCAGGAAGTAAATGTTAAGTTGTAAGTAAAACAAAAACCAGGTAGCTTAAAGTCCTCAGACTTCATTTCTAAAGCACAAGCCTTTAAAATAATTCAGTGTTACGTGTTGTCAGATACATGCAATTTTAAAGATAAGTAAAGCACTTCCTTTATTAAAAAGCAAGCCTGTATAAGAACTTGATGTTACATTTTTGTTTCTGAATAGTTCATTTGTTTGGAAAGCTGAATGATATTTTTAAGCGAAGAAAGGAGGAAAAAAGTCAAAATAATATAATTTTACTGTGATGATCCTTTTGTGAACAGGTCAGGGTATTCCTGGACAAAATAATTCACAGAAGGGCCTGTACAAAACCAGCCAACTTTTGCAATGGTATTTTGTATATTTACAATGCTACTTGGAGACCAAGGATACATTGCAGGCACTCCACAGATAACGTAGCCATGTCCTGAAGCGTACATTAAACCGAGTGCCCGATCGCGGCCTCAGCTCAAGCCGCGTTACTCCTATCGTTTCGCGTTCCTTACCTGGCCGAGCTCCCACAGCGCTTCACTGAGAGGGGTGCGGGGATGGCGGGCCTGGCCTCGCCAGCTGCATCGCGGGGGCCGGAGGCACAGCGAACCCCGGGCTCCCCGAGCACCCGCGCTGGGGGCTGGCACGGCCCGGGCGGCTGCGCCGGCGGCGTGGAGGCCCCGGCGGC